TGTGGGCTGGGTCTGGTCCCTGTGCTAAGAGGTCTGGGTGGTCATGGGCTCACAGTTGGGTGGTGTTGGCAGTCAGACTGGATGCCTGCCCTCAGCCTATTTGCAAGGGGTGCCGTCACACTCAAGTGCAGGGTGTTGTCCCGAGAAGCTTTTGTTGGTGGGCGGGGCTGGAGTCAGGCCAGATGCCAGGGCTGCAGGTGCCCTGATCGGCAGAGCACTCACTCCGCACTGCCAGTGACAAAGTTTGGCTGCCAGGGCACGTGGTTATCTTCCCCTCTCTATAGGGTGGGAGTCACTTTGAAGAGGCAGCAGTCCCTGCCAGGGCTGCTTATAGGATACGACCTGGCGAGAGCTGCTTTGGAAGGAGTCGTGCCAGCTGAGGTGGTGTGAACGGGGCGAGGACATGGGGGCAGGGTGCATGGTGTCAGCAAGGGAGGTGGAGAGTGTCCCCCCTGTTTCCTGCAGGTGGTCCAGGGATCTACATGGTGGGGATGGGGGCAATAGCACCAATTCTTGGAGAAGTCTCCTAAAGACCCCTGCCTCTCCAGTACCCATTCTGAGATTAGTAAATAAATCTCCTGCACATATACGCCAGGTGCTTTTCAAACTGCTGCTTCTCTGCCATATCTTGGCAGGGCTGCTTGTTGTGCTGGCTCTTTAAGGGGACTATTTCGTATCATCTTCGGCTTTCCTGGAGCTGAGCCACTGATTTTTAAAGTACCTGGAATTGGGGCGACTGGGTGGCTCAGTCGGTTGAGCGTCGGACTTTGGCTCAGGTCATGATCTTGCAGTCAGTGAGTTCAAGCCCCGTGTCGGGCTCTGTGCCGTCAGCTCAGAGCCTGCTTTCGATTCTGTTGTCTCCCTCTTTCTCTGCCCCTCCCCCACTCACTCTCTGTCTCTTAAAAATAAGTATTAAAAAAAAAAAAAAACTGCCTGGAGTTAAGCCCAGCTGGTTATTAAAAACTCAAAGTTAAGCCCTGTTGTTTTTCGAAGCCAGATGGTGGAGACTCCTCTTCCCGCTGCAGATTCCCCATGTCTAGGGTGCCTGGTGTGCCGTCTGTTCTCCCTTCTCCAGTGCTTGTGTCTCTCCTGTTTGTGGTCAGTCTCACCAGGAGTTCGGTTCCAACCACGTCTTCACCCCTCCTACCTTTTTGATATGTCCTTCTCTCTACAACGGACTGGGAGGTCTGTTTTGCCAAATCTTTGGGTTGTTTTCTGGGGAGGATGCACAGATGTGGCTGTTACCTAGCTGTGTCCATGGGACAAGGTGAGCTCGGGCTCCTCCGACTCTGCCGTCTTCCCAGGAAGTCTGCCAGGTGGGTTTTCAGTCCAGGGGTTTAGGGAGAACCATTATCTTCCCACACTGATAAAACACTTTGGCAGAGTTCATGGGTCAGATTTTGAGGTCTCCAAAATGATCATTAGAAATGGGATTAGGGGGAGGTGACCTGTGCGCCTAGGGGCACACTTGGAGGTGACTGCTCTCGGGGTCAGGCAGGTGCAGCCGAGTACCTGAGAGTTTGAGTACCTCCTTGAAGTCTGCACCCTGCCTGCTTGCTCCCCCCACTCTCGTCCTGGTTTTGGAGCCCATAGTGGCTCTCAGACTGTTTTTTAAACTATAATCTACGGTAAGAAACACACTTCACGTTCATCCAGTGCACACAGACACATGCACACGCAGAGACCTACACGCCGAACCAAGATTACAAGTAACAATCTCAATCTTACCTTTGGAACGCACCCCGGTATTTCCTATTCTGTTTTACAAGACTGCTGTTTACGACCCTCTACACCGATTTTCCACCCCACTAATGAATTGCAACCTGCAGTTTAAAAAGCTTTGCTTCAGTAGGTGCTCAATGTTTTAAACTGTGGGCTACTTGATGGGATTCCAGTGGCAGCTAAAACCCATCAACCCTGGGCATTTTTCACAATGGGGTTCACGTGTTCAACAGAAACTTAGGGCATCCTTTACTACTGTCTCTAATCTTGCTGTAATGGGAGTTTGGGGGGCCACGACAGGAAATCAAGAGCCACCCATTGTAAAATGGAGGGCACCTGACCCCATTCCACTTATGACTCCTGTGAGAGACAAGTAAGCTTTCTGAAATTTCCTACTGATTGCTTCTCTGTTAGGACAGGGAGGAAACAAACAAGACATGTGGCCTTCAGATCACCGTCTCCCTTGGTAATTGCTCTGCACTCAGGCCATGCAGTGGAGGCGTTTATGATGCCGCTGCTTTTGTGACCCTTCTGGATGGTCTACCTGGTAAATTGTTTTCCTTAAGGACCTAATAGCTCCCCATGCTCAAATGCTGGTTTTTACTGCAAAAACAAAAGGGCATAGGAGACACGCAATTTAGGGTTTACAGCTGTAGGTATTTTGGATGCAATTTATTTGCCTCGCACGACAGTCAGGAGGAGGGGACGGTAGAGACGAAGAGGTGACTGCTAACAGAATCACCCTTTCTCAGAAAATCGGACTTTTGAAATCGGGAATTTTCAATACAGGAGTATCCTTTTTAATGCAGCTTCATCCATAAAAGATGGATGCGGAAGTGTGGAGGGGGCTCGGACACAGTGAGACCCGCAGACCTCCATGGACCAGCGCTTATGCATTTATCTCTGCACTCAATGAAAATATTTTCTTCGTGAGAACTAGAACAGAATGGTGCAGCTTGGTTTAAGATTTGAAAAAAAAGAAAAAAAGGGGTGGGGGGAGGTGAATACTGTGTCCTTAAGTGGACAAGCAGGAAAGATAGAAAAAGAAGTCACCTCTATTTTGAAAACATCATTTTGATTTGAGTTGTGGACTTCTGCCAATTTTACACCTTGGTCACATACTGTTATGCTGCTTTTCAAAGCGAAATTTATGGCCAATCTTGTTGTTCCAAAACCTATCTACCGAACATCATCTATGAGCATATAATTATGACGGATACATTATAAGTAAACCACGGATTCAAACTGAGTTTGTCATTTGTGGTGGATATGGCACTCAGTACTCCAATGAAGTGAAAGAAACAAACATATTCTCTGGTAGCTTCCAGTAAGTAGACCATGGGTGGGCCTGGCCCAAGGACGTGAAGTTGGGAGACAGAACACTGAGCCCTAGTCGTGCTCTCAGAGAGAAGGAAGCACCATATTAGATGTGGGCAGCTGGGTGATATCTAGCTGGCCTGAAGTTTTGAGATTTTTTTTTTAAATGTAAACAAAAATGTAATATTTTAAGATTTAATTCTGCATCCTGTATTCAGAGATCTAGCTTCCACAGAAATGAAGCAAAGACTGTTGGGATAAAGTCAGTCTTTTCACTTTTAGTATGAATTGAGATGTTTTCGTACTGTGATCTTTGATAAACCCCTGCCAGAATCTAGCTTTTCATCAAAGGAGTGACCACACCCGTGACCCACAAGTTGGCCCGCTTCACTGGGCAGATTCCAGATCCTGAGGGCCACCCCTGCTCAGGCTGTCTAGATAAGAAACACTGCGGGGAACAAAAACAACAATGCTGAAGGAACCCAATGCTCACGCCTTGGCTTTGCATCCTGGTCCCGTAAGGGCTCCTCAACATCCTTACCTTGAAATAAGGGACAGATACATGACCGTCCCAAACACTGGGATATTACCGCTCCTCAGAATAAATAAGCCAAAAGAAAAGCATAAAGAAGTTTCCCACCATGTGTGTTGCCTTTCTCCTGGTTTGAAAACGGGGCGTCTATTTTAATCCAATCCACTGTTTTTGAAGGTAGTTACTGTAACAAATGCAAACTAAATCCTTTCTGGCTTAGAGTTCAGTGAAGCCCAGATACCACGGGCTGATGTATAATGACTGTAATGGAGTATGGGCTTAAAAATGCTTATAGGATTGGAAAATTAGGTCTAAAATACTGCCTACCATCGACAGACCCTCATAATAGCCAGAGTGGTACCAGGTGAGAAAAGAACAAGGATTTCAGCTATCATTTAATCTCTCCAAGCTTTAAAGTCTTCATCTATAAACTACGCATTGCAGGGGTGTCTGGGTGGATCAGTTGGTTAAACGTCCGACTTCAGCTCATGATCTCAAGTTCGTGAGTTCAAGCCCCACATTAGGCTCTGCACTGACCGCTCAGAGCCTGCTTCAGATTCTAGGTCTCCATCTCTCTCTGCCCTGCCCCCCCCCTGCTTGTGCTGTCTTTCTCTCAAAACTAAACATTAAAAAGATAATAAAATAGGCAGTCCCAGGTTTGAGTGATGATTAGTAACTGCAAACCTAAGGACCCAGCCCACTACCAAGTTCATAGTCTGTGTTTCATAAATGCTAGGTATTAATATTACTTTAACTCTTAGAACAAAGAGAAACTCATTTACTAGTTCAGGGGTGAGGGGGCTCAGATGCATGAAGTCAAGTATTTGGCTAAAAAATGCTGTAACCCCCAGAACTCCTCACCCCAAACCGCATGGCTCTTTCCTGATCCACACTGGGGCTGAGGCGCTAAGAGCTTCAGGGCCATGGGAAGTTGAGGATCCTTTCTCTGACACACAAGTGTCTTCAACTCTCCACGTATGTGCTAAGTGGGATGGAAGAAGGATACCACTATACTCCTTTCTTGAGAACATCAGTTGCCTGGTCTCGAGGGAGAGGTTCAGTCTTTTTAAGAATCTTAAGTGCCAGTATCCCCCAAAGTATGGCTTAGGCTGCAGAGAAAAGGTAGTCCTATGCTGAAGCATAGCTGTCCAGAAATGATCCAAAGGGCTGGCATATTAAGATATTAAGGTGCACTAGGGGCGCCTGGGTGGCTCAGTCGGTGGGGCATCGGACTTCAGCTCAGGTCATGATCTCACAGTGTGTGAGTTCGAGCCCTGCGTAGGGCTCTGTGCTGACAGCTCAGAGCCTGCTTCAGATTCTGCCCCTCCCCTGCTCATGCTCTGTCTCTATCTCAAAAATCTAAAAACATTAAAAAAAATTTTTTTTAAAGATATTAAGGTGCACTCATAGTTATCCGTGTGGACATTACCATTTTCCAGGTTCTCGCTGCTCTCGTAGCACCCGGAGTCTCGTGGAGAGCATCCGCTCAGGCCCTGGCTGTCGACAAGCAGCTTCTCCTGGGATCCCGACTGGTCGCTGTTACCTACGGAAGGTAAACACACAGCATGGAATCAGAGGGGAGTGAAAATCAAAGTCAGCCAAATCCCGATTTTTATCCTGTTATCAGTGCACGTTTTGAAGCCTCGGACTTTTGGAAGAGCGCTAATTATTTTAAAGTGAATGAAATAAAATGAACGGACGAGAGCAGAACAATTTTCTGTAAAGGTAACATCAAAATAAATTCAGAGGGAGAGCCTCTAGTTGCAGTTCGTCAATTTCTGTTAAGTTACCCAGAGGAGGACTCTGGCCTCAGGCCTGTCAGGAAGGGAGAAATTCAAAGCTTTATGTCTGCTGTGAGGGAAGGACAATCAGTGTCCTTTCTGAGCGAGGGGACCCCGGAGGGGAAACTTAGGGTGCGTATGCCCCTTTCACAAGCAGGTTATTAGAGATTTCTCTGACAAGCGTCTGGCCTAAGACGTGTCTTCCAAATTAAGTGGTAAATGAAATACTGACTTTAGGAGCATTCTTAGGTCTTGGTGACAAGCTCTGGTTCTCGGATTCTCTCAACAGGAGTAAGGCTGGCAGCTGGGGACATTAACCCCTAACCTGATGGGGGGCACAGGTTAAATCCTTTTGTTTGTTTGTTTGGAATGTGTTAGAGGGTTTGCTTTCCTTTCTGCCTTCTCCTTTTGTTTTGAGTCAGCGTTTCTGTTCCCTGTACACAAAGGTAAGACGGGGGAAAGCTTGGAAATCCTCTAACCAGGACGCTGAGTAATGGACACTCTTCAGCTGGGCGAGTGGAAACTGAATGTCCCCATTTTAAAGAAGCCTTCTAGAGAAGTACCTGATATTTCTGTCAAGGGAATGTCTAAAAGCCAATCACAGGGGAAATAAGGAGGGCCCTTATCACCAGCCATGTCACATGCGCATTCTATAAAAGGGGGCACAGAAGGCCTTACGTGGGAGTGAGGTTACACGACGAACACCTTTGTAATATTGTGCAGAGGGGGGTACTTGGTCCCATAAAACAGAAACCAAGAACAACTTTTTCTACCTAAAACAAGTAAGTTCATGATAAATGGTCTTGATTTCTTTTCCTGTCTCTTCACGGCCCCTCCCCTACCACATAAAAACAAAACGGAAATCCGATGGCTTTTCTCAGGTCATTAAGAAATCAATCGCAGGAAGGCAGACGACGACTGCATCCCACAACGTACAGCTGTTCTACTCACCACTTCCTGTTTGCATTTTTCACATGGAAAGCGTGTTATGACACTAATCCTGGCAGAGTAAGCTGGTAAGGTAAAACCCCAGATTAAGAGGTGCTATTTTTGGGGAGTGCCTGGGGGGCTTAGCATCCGACTTTGGCTCAGGTCATGATGTCAGAGTTTGTGGGTTCGAGCCCCAGGTTGGGCT